CGCTTGTAATTTTTATTTTAAATTTTTTATTCGATTTTTTATCTATTAATTTTCTTAACTGATAATGTTGTCAATGAACAACGGCACGTTTCAATACAAAACATTGCCACGTGTTAATTATTGCCTTAGTTCAAATTGAATCGAGTCTACGTATAAAATTTTCATGGCGTTCAATATATAAATAATATTTTTGTACATACAGCAGAAGCACGGAGATAATAGAAAAATCAAATTGTAAAATAAAAATTCAGTGTGTACAGCGTACACGCTACTTTTTTCACCAGCGTGTAAAACAGTATGTAAATTTTTTTTTATTAGGGTACCGTACCCGTTGTTTTGCTGGGTACACTCATTCATTAAAAATACTGGTCCAAAGTATAGTTCTAAAGAAAGTATTATATCAAAAAATGATCTATTAATCATGTTAGTTTTAGGGGAAAAAATGATTATCGCAAATCATTTTCTGAGTACAAACATCAAACATAAATCTTCTTACGAAAAACCATATTCTATGTAATTAGTTTTCTTTCAGAACATGCAACATTAGTTTATATTTTTGTATTCTATTTGAGATCGTGCATATCTTATTTAAACTGAAGATTAAACAAAAAGACTAAATCAAATAAATTTTTTTTTAAACTGATGTCGCCACTTACCAATATGATCTATTAGTTGATGGTTTGACGAATTACTTCATTTTGATTGGAAATAACAATAGTACTTTGATTGAAACATTGATGTAAATACTTTTTTCAATATATATTATTAAACTATACATAAGAAATTTCCTCATTATTGGCGTTTCGTTTTTTTTCGATCAATTTATTAAATAATATGCACAATGCCTTTATGGTATTATGATAAAAAAGAACTGAAATCTACACCATCTATTCGTGATGGTGTTGATCCAGAAACTGAACAACGTTATCGACGTGAAGGTTGTCGTTTTATTCTTGATCTTGGTATTCGACTTGGTTTGTAAGTAGTAAAATCTCTTGTTGTTTATTTAAACTTTTCTTTTTTCTTGTATTCTATAGACGATCAGAAACAATGGGTACAGGGGCCGTTTTTTTCCATCGTTTTTATATGTTCCACTCATTTAAACAATATCCAAGATATGTAAGTTATCTATAAAAAAAAAATCTTAGCATTATTATTGTAATTAAATTATTAGGCCATGGCAACATGTTGTCTATTTCTATCTGGTAAAGTTGAAGAAACTCCGAAAAAAATTCGTGATATTATGAAAACTGCACGTCAAATTCTTGAAGGAGCTCGTGAACGTTATATACCAACATTAGGTGATGAACGAGGAGATTTAATTTTACAATATGAACGTATTTTATTACCAACTGTTAAATTCGATTTTTGTATTGCAAGTCCATATTCGTTTCTTAAACAATACGCTAAAACAATTATCGGTGATAAAGAACAAATACGACAAATGTTTCAAATGGCTTGGACATTTGTTAATGATAGGTATTTTAATAACAAAAGCAACAAAAAAACAAAATTATCTATGTTTTTTTTTTGTTTTTAGTTATTGTACAACATTATGTTTACAATGGGAACCAGAAATAATTGCAATAGCTGTGTTATATCTTGCTTGTAAATTATCAAAATTTGAAATAACAGATTGGACAACTAAAAAAGAAAATAGTAAACAAAAATGGTGGGAGCAATTTGTTGAAGGTTTAACAAAAGATATTATTGAAGGTTTTATTTTATTATATTATTAAATCTTTATAGGAAAAAAAATATATAATTATTCTTTAGATATTTGTCATCAACATTTGGATCTTTATTCAAAAAATAATCTATCATCAACAGGTAATGGTACAATTAATAATCCATCAGTTATGCTTACACCAACACAAACAAATTCAACTGTAACATCACCTATACAACCTATTGCTGTTGAATCACCATCAACATCACGATCAATGCCACCAACTAAACGAGTAAGACAAATGGAAATCTTTTTCTTTCGAGATAAATATTTTTTTCAAACAGATTATGTTATTAATCTTTATTTTTTCATATAGGCACGAACTGATGATGAATCAAATTATCGATCATCGCGAAATAATCATCATCATTCATCAAATTTAAGTTCAAATGTCGGTGGTACACAAGTAAATCCTACAGGTCCACCATTGCCATCTTCAACATCTTTTCATCATGTATGTGATCGATTTCTTTTTTTTTTTTTTCTTATGAAGTTTTTTCTTTCAAAATTATTTAGACATCGTCTCACGATGATTTCTCTCGTCGAACGTTAACTGCGCCGCCTCCACCACCGCCCCCGCCTCCACTACCACCACCTCCACCTCCTCCACCTCCACAATCGGCTGTTGCACCACCACCATCTCATCAAAACTTCTATATGAGACCACCTATGCCGCCACCAATGCCTCCGTAAATGATTTGATTACATAATCGAAAAAAAAAAATTTCTATTTTTTCTTTCTTTAGTATGCCGCCACCTATGTTCGCACAAACTCTTCGTGGTCAAATTCCTTCTAGTAATCCATGGCCACCACCACCACCACTACCGCCAATGTAGTATTTCTTTTTTTCTCTGTTTTGCTGTTGATTGTCATATTATTTCTGTTACACATATATAATGAAATGTGAAATTTTGTTTTCTTTTTCTAAACGTATATTCAATTGCGATATAACATCGGCAGACATATGTTTTGTCACTTTCAGATTTGTATGTGACATGACACATAATATATTTCTTAATTTTATTTATTTGGAGTTGCCACCATGTTGTCCAATTGTTAAAATACCACCTGATCGTAGTGATCAATAAAGAGAACATTCCAATATCGGTATTTATATGATTTCTTTTCAACATCGTTTCTCTAAAACTGTTCGTTATATATTTTTGTGTACAGATCGTGTTCACTTTACCATCAATTACAGACAAAAAAAATAGTTTGCTGTACAATTCTTATCAACTAGACAACAAAGTATATACATATTTGATTAATCTATCTAGATTTTTAACTTTAATTTATTTGATTATTGTTTGAAACTAAAAAGTATATCTTATGTAATATTTCAATTAACCTTCGAATTTATTAATGTGTCAAGAAATCTTTCCTATATTAAGTAATGATTATTCAAATGACCTTTTCATCTTATTATTATTCGATACATCAACCTAATAGTGTTTACCACAAGTCTAATTAAAGAGAAAGAAAAAGAAAACGATAAAAGGTTATGTGAGAATAATGATTGTCATCAAAACAGATGACAAGAATGTAGAATGATGATTTAATGTTATGTATTCACTACATGCATATATTTTTCCTATTATTAGTTGTTTTTTATTTTCTTGTCTATTTAATTATTTAAAAAATTTATCTTATGAATATCATCTAATTTATTTTTCTTTTCTCTATTTGGTTATTTGTTAAAGAAAACAATAATGAACAATGGAAGTCAATATTTGTTAAAGCAATAGGAAAAAAAACTTATTCAATTTCTTTTTCTTCCGTTTTACTGATTGTTTCGACGAGACTTGGGATGTCAAAATGCATTGTTTTTCATGCTATCGTTCATGGTAAACTTTATTCTATTGAGAATTTATCGTTATCTTGACGTGTAATAAACAAGATAAAAATTTATTCCCTCATGAAATCAAAAAAAGAAAAGAAAAGAAAAGAACTACATTTTGATGATTAGCAACTGTCATCATTTGGATTCTCTATAAGAACCGATTCATGTTGTTGGATAGAATAAAAGAAATATGACAAGTGCTCGTTTCTTTTTTAATTAAGAAACATATTCAAAAATTAATTTATTAAAGCGAAAGGAATTATCTCGAGAGATTGGTATCTTTTAGAAATTGTTTTTCTTGTTAATTTAACAATAGGTTAGAGAGTAAAATTCATCAGTTTATTTGTTTGTTTATTTGTTGTTGTTTTTTTTTTTCAATAAGAAAAATAACTCAACTGTCAATTTCATTTATTTTATAAAATAAGGCAGTAAAAATTTATGTTCATCATATATTTGTTTTAAGTGTAGAATAAGCGAAAAAATGAATTATTTAAGTTTTAAGAGACGCATAATACTCGTATATTTTTGAGCAAATTAAGTCAATATTGCTTCTATTCTTAGCTATTATAAGAAAAAACACACACGATATTATTTGCATAGCAACATATGAGAAAGAAAAAAGAAAAGACAAAACAATCTTATATTAAAGACAAAATAACTTTTGACTATGCCGTTTTTTCTATATAAGGAAAAACATCGATGCAGATATTTACGTCTTTTTTCTCATCCACATTAATCAAATCAACAATAGCGTCATTTAATTCGGTTAAAACATTATATCTAGAACTAATAATTTTTTCTGACAAACAAAGCTCCTCCCTATCATGTCGGCTAGACATTATTTCAATAATAGATCAAATTTTGATCTTCTTTGATACTACGTGTCAGTAATACATTTTGCATATTAATGATAAATATGAAAAGAATTTTTTTTGTCATTTTCATGGACTAGTCATTAATTTCCGCACATATTACATCATCAGATAAACAAACTTATATGTACAAATCATGACATGTAAAACAAGACAAAAAAGTTATTTAATATGCCATTCCTAACAAACTTTTGTATATTTCATGTCTGATTGTTCCCTTTGTTTTAATGTTTGGCACAGAAATAGATGATTTCTTCTTTTTGTATAGAGTTTATTCAATGTTGACAATCGCTCTCTCTAGTTTTTGCCTGTATCACTTAGACACAAACTTCGAGTTTGTATAATTTATCGTATACATTAAAATAAGATATAATTGATATTTGAAACTATCTTCTCTTATGAAATAAAGACACTTAGTATTAAAACCACACAGACGTCATTTTCAAAGTCTATCAAATAACAATGATTGACATATTTGAACTTTAAAAACAAAATCTTAGAAAACTGTTTAGATTCTATTACATAAAAAAACTCATTTGTCATTTAATATATTTTATTATCAAGATATCAGTATGATATATAAATGTCCTCGTATTTTTTTGACATTGTTTTGAAGTACATTCGGTAGTACAAGACATAAAATATATAACCTTGGAATATATATATATATATATGAATATATGTATATATGTCGTAGCGACCAGCTGGTCAATCTATAAGCACATGAATATGCACTATTACTGCTTCTTTTTACTTCTTCTTTTGCTTCTAGTCTCTGTCTCTCTCTCTCTTCTCACACATCTTCGTCTTTTATAACACACAGAGAACACGCGTGTTCGCTTACTTGCCTGCTTATTTGCCTTCGCGCCCTTAGTCAGACGAAAAAAAAAAAAGAGAAAGGTGTTTCATCCACATACATAACATGCACACAAATAAGCAAGTTTAAGAGACACGCAACAGAGTAGATGTATTATGGTTAAAGAAAAAAAAATAACAAAACAATATTGACTAGCAAATCCACGTAAGACATAAGCAGTATTTAATCATTCATTAGTTATTGTTTATCATAATATACTGGCTAGTAGAACAACATAGGGTTGCTAGCTTATTAACATTCATTTCTTTGTTGTTACATCGATCATCTGGTAGAGAAAGAAAAAAACAGAGAAAAAGAAAGAAAGAAAAGCACTGAGTACAAGAAAGAGAATGAAAAAGTATGATTTCTCATATGGTAATCATCTATCCCCACGTACATAGAGTAGCTCGTATATGGCAAAAAAATAGGGGAAAAAGAAATGGACAAACCACAATTACTAGTGTTGCTTGTCTTATATCCAACTGAATCGATAGAGATTACTATTCTACATAACCTACATTCCTACATATATATATATGTTCTTTGTTTCAGACCCGATCGATTTAATATTTCAATAAAACAACGTTCAATTTCATTGAATTATTCATCAATATTTGTTGTTTTACACTTGTACTTCTTCTTTACATTCAATTGAGTCATATTGAAACGGGTAAAACTTTTATATTAACTGAAAACAAAAAAATTAGTCGTGATGGTTAATGTCCATCATCTGTTGGGGTAGATATCATAGTTATGATGTGAACTACATTTACTGTTGACGAGAAAAGGAAAAAAAGAAGAAAAAAAAAAGAAAAGTACAGCCTTAAGCGAACTCTTTCTTTTTCTTGTGCCTAGTGCCATTCCTCTAAACATTTATGATGAAAACAGAATATATTCTGTTATTGCTTCTTCTATAGGCTATGTCAAATAACAATATATACATATATATTACTATTTTTTGATAAAGGGCATAATACCTTTTTTTTCATGTTCATACATGTACAATTTATATATATTATTTTTTCTTTTCGTTCTTCGTTTTTTTCTTAATATTGGTAAACGCGTACCTATGTCGATTACATTCTGCAAACACAGCTGGTAGCTGTCAATTTGAATATGATTGTAAACTTCTATTTTCATTCGCTGTTTTCACATTGATTTCTCTATTGATAAATTTTCTTTTTATTTTTGTATGAAGGAAAAAAAAAGAAACAGAAATATTCTTTATCCAATTAATTTAAATAACCATTGACTTCGAACAAAAGAAAAGACATAATTGCTACTTGAGGACAGTAAAACTTTACAAACATTAAATTACATAGAATGAATTAGATTTTTCAGCAAATTGCTTAAATGCTATAATCAGTACATGTTAAAGTAATCCAGAACCAACATAATAAATCCGTAGTATTATTTTTCATAAAAGCTTACAGCTCGTCTTGATTTATTTTTGTTCTTTTGATTGCCCTTGAACCTAAACGATGATTTTGTTTATATCTTCTACAGATATAATTCATCATCAGTATAAATAATAACGAAAACAATTGTCGTCATCGTTACATCTCAAGGTCAATTTTCGACCATGTGAGCAAATGAATAGAGATAGAGAAAAAAAAAACAAAATGTAAATTTAATGTCGTTTTATTTGGACGACGAAAATGTAAGGGGACAGATTGTGTCCCACTAATTGGAGATTGTATTTGTATTAAAATGGAAAGGATCGTTCAGTCAGCCGGCGACAAGACTATTCTCTATCGTCGTCATCTTTGCCCATATAAAAAGAAGAGAAAAAAGACATAAAGCAAAATCTGATGATGCAGTTGACGGTGTGTCGAACGAAGAATGATGTGTTTGTTACAACGACTGCACGTAACAACGACGAGAGTGTCTATTGTATGCTCTCTCCTTCTCTCTCTCTCTGTCACTTTATCATCGAATAGATGTAAGGTAGTGTTCTACATATATTTTACACACTCACATCACTTTTTTCTCTTTCTTTCTCATTTGTTCATCACATTAAAATACTAAATTTATTCTTTCTAGCATTAATCTGATCGACAACATACAGCAATGGATGATTGAACATTTTTAATTGATATTAGCAATTCACTACAGGTGAGAAAATAAATACAAAAAAAAAAAGAAAGAAAGAAAGAAAACAGTGCATAATAATCGATCGATACCAGTTGTTTTTGTTCTTGCTATTAATATTATTATTACCATAGCTTATAAGCGAAACAGTCATGTCTAGTGAAGTCAAGACGGGAAAAGAAAACGGGTACACGAACAACAGAAAAAGAAAATTGGTCGATCAATTTCTTAATAAAAACCACATACGACTCTTCAAGAGAAAAAAAAAATTGAAAATACGAAGACGCAGAAGAAAAAAAACAAGAAAGGATAAAAAATTAAGGAAAAGAAAAAAGTCAGTTTTTTCTATTCAATGCTCGATTGCTTATATTTACAATGAATGACAAATTATATTCATCAGTATTAGATGATTTCTTTCTTTTTTTTTCTGTTTTTGTTGCTATCGAAGATATTTTGCCTTTCAATGAATAGAAATGCATTTTATTTGATTTGACGCTTTTTATTTTTATCAATTTAAATATATCTGAAGTATTTCTTAAACAAAAAATAAATAGAGTTAAGTGTTTAATATCGATTTCATGAAAAATATGGTCTCAGAAGGGATGTAGTTTTGTTTTACACACCCACATTCGTGAAAATATACAGATGGTACTTTTCAATAGAGAGAATGCATGTGTTTTATATCGATACAGCTATTTCAAAATCTACTTAATTATGATTAAATATTTTAATCAATAGTTGTCAGAAGAAGAAAAATTTTACGTTCAATATTTACTTCATTGAATAGTTAAGTATTGTATAAGTTTTATATAAAATGATTCAATTTATCGGTACTCATTACGATATGAAGTCTAGTGTTTCATCTTATCAAATCAATGAATTAAGACTATGTTCAATTGATATGAAAGTAAATGTTTCGTTTTGTTTTTTTTTGCTAAGCATGATTTCTCTTTGAATAGTAATACAAGGTTGTTAAAAATAGATTTCCTTTTCCAATTATGTAAAATATATATTACGAAATAGTAATCATACGTGTGCTAAAAAAAGAATAACCTAATTAGCTTTTTTTACTCTTTATCGAAACTATTTGATCTTTCTGATTTTGATGAAATTGTATTTTTATTTATAAACATTTCTACTTTTTCATCGTACAATATAGGTTAGTGAATTTAAATTAAATTGATTTCGTTTGATCGACATTGAACTAAAAGAAGAAAATAAGCATGATACATAATCGATTTTTTTTATCACAAGTAGTGATGATTATTTCGATTCATGTCCTTGTTTTAAATGAATAGTATGTCGATTTCGTATGAAAATCTAACATAGAATGATTATTTTTATTGGATAGGGAATATATGTGATTGTCAATGAATAGTTATTTTTCATCGTTTGACATAGTGTAAAAATTGATTTCTAATGTTAATTTTTATAATTAACTTGCAATGAATTATTGAACGATCTTGTTTGCGTGACAATTTTTATGTTAAAATTTATGAGAATGATTTATATCCGCTTGGATTATTTTTACCCTTTAAATGAAGTCAATCAAGACAATGTCAGGCGTTCTTTTTTTTGTTTGTTTATGTAATCAGATTAAAAAACAGTTTTATATAAGAATCAAAAAGAATTTTTATGAATACTTAAGTAGATTGTTACATGTAAAAGACAACATCTTATTGTTGATTTAGATAACTCGTTTATAGTGCGGAATGCTTTATATTTTTAATGAAATTTCTACAATCAGCAATGGTTTTCGATACTTCATCACCACCGGCTAGTTCATCTTCAACCGATCGAGTTCTTGCACTCGATCGTATGTTTAATTCATCACATACACCTGCTATCGAACTTCCATTGTCTGATGAACGTGATTTATCACAAATTGAAGCCGTTAGTAAACATCATCATCATCAGCAACAACCATCAAAATGGAAAATGATGTCAAAACGTCGACAAAGTTGTACAAATGATATGTATGTAACCGCAAGTCGTTATCATCGATCAAAACCAACGTCAACATTAAATAATTTATCGTCATCAGATGAAACATTAACATCTGTATCATCATTTTTTTCTACCTATGATAAGTTTCATAATAAATTATCTAGTGATGATGTGAAATATTATCCAAGTTCATCAGCTTTAGTAACAACACGTCGTTCAACAACTGATTGTAATGATTTAACAAATATTCATCGACAAACATTAGAACAAACAAATAATAGATTATTAACAATTGTCGACGAAGAATCAAGAGATTCAATTTGGTTAACTTCAGGTAAATGATAATCTTTTTTTGTTTTTGTATTTTCTTCAGATATTTTATTGAATCAGATATTTGATACGTACATAGTGTTTGGTATACTAGTTGATTATGTTATATCTTTTTTACACTTTCACTCTATTCATTTAACAAAAAAACCGACATAAAATTAGAATTTGACTAGAAATAAATTCATACTATCACATTCTTTCTTAAAGGTAGAGTGGAATCGAAAAACAAGAGAGAAAACTAATTGTAGCGGCCGTGCTAAATAAAGATGCACGCTTTATAATCTAATAAAAGAATTGTGATTGTAAAGGCAAAGTGTGCTACAAAACAATTTCCATACAAAATAAATATGGGAATGTTTTGTTCGACAAAGTGCCATTCAAAATGAGGTGGTTGTATAAATATGGCTGAATAAATTCAAATATTTTGTCTTATAAATTGTTTAGTAAAATGAGAAGATATTATTGAATAAAATAAAAATAGGTATTCCATTCAGATTTTAATTATTTTGATTGTATGAATTTATCTCTAGTTGAATTCTAGTATTGTCTGCAATATATGTACATTCAAAATCCGTACGGTAATCTCGCGCTTCATTATTTGTTGAGATATCTTGATGTATTCTCGAGTAGATCACTTACTCTTCTGTCCATTTATATAATGTTCGCTTTATTGATGTCAAGTATTAAATGTTAAGTTTTTACAACGAGTAGGAAAATTTTTGTTTATTATAAGTGCACAAAAATAGTTAGGATTTCATCAGTAAAAATCGATTTTGTCAATGTCTAAGTTTGATGCTCAATATTTCTCGAATTTCTGGTCAAGATACAAGACAAATAAAACGAAAGGATATCACCGAATGAGAGCATAAATGGACCACCTGTTTTGCTTTCACTTTCAATGAATTGCAAAGATCAAACACGAAATTTTGTACATTTCTGTATAATTATTTATTTAGTTTTGGTGAATGCAAAAAACATTTGTTGAAGACTAAATTACTCCTATAATGTTATATCCGTTTTGAATGTTCTGAATAATAATTATGGTAGCTATAATTTTTTTATTTTGTAAACTCAATACGAAAATTAATACTATAGATAGTAGTAGTGTTTTATGCTGTATAAACCACATATTGAGCATGCTTATCGCTTAGTTTATGCAGGATCACACGGTGCGATATCACATCTGTATGACATTGTATAATCTAAGTGATAGACATGATCATTATGTCATCTTTGTAGAGCATAGGAGAACTACAATGATCTACGGTAATAATTTTCATATTGAATTTACAACGTAAAAAATTATAGCTACCATAGTTATTATTCAAAACATCCAAAAAAATAATAGAGCCCTTTAGATTGTTTAGTCTTAAGGAGTATATTTTTTTTGCTTGTGCCACAAAAATAATAAACACACAGAAATGTGCAATATTTCATGCTCAATCATTCTAATTGAGAAAAAGTACTTTTGATCACCAATTTATTTCGAGTGATGATTTTTCATTTTCTCTCTTTGAATACTTCTACACGGTTCATACAATTCTTCATCTACATTCAGTACCTTGTTTTCAGGGATCAAATAAACTAATGTATAATCAAAGCAATTAGTGCATGACGAAGGTAATTAATGTATGGTCAAAGCAATTAGTTAATGTAGTGTGTGTATCTGTAGAAAAACTACATATCCATTTAAAAAATATGGATCTTCTCCAGATCGACGCCGATAGTCTATGCACTAATTGGTCTACCTAGCATAGCATATCGAAGAGTGAATGTCGTGGTGTCGCTTATCCGAAGAAATATCAAGGTGAGAGCATCAAAGATTTGTCAGGATTAGATTGTCGTCAGCCTAGAATATAGAAAACTTGATGATTAAAATTACTATTTCCCTTTTTAATTTATTGAAAGTGAAATATAAACGGGTAGTACATATACGCTGTAATTCATCAACATGAGTTATATACTTCGATAGACTCATCCATACTCTATCCGAAATCATGTAAACAATCTGTATCTAAGCATGATTGAAATTTAAAAAAAAAACAAGAAACATGCTTTTGATTTATTTAGATGATCACCATTTATTAGTACCTGCATCAAGATCTTCACATGTATCTGAACCATCTTTATCTATATTTTATTCTGATCCATCAATGACATCATGTTCATTGGTTTCGTCTTTCAATTCAAATTCGAACAGTAATGATCTTCACGAATCATCATCACAATATTCATCGTCGGTTTCATTCTTTAATGATGTATCTGAAACACCCAAAACTCTTTCATCATCATCATCTGATTATGAATCAAATATTCCAACATCAAATTCATCGATAAATTCAATACCTGATCATTTATTTCTTACATCACCCGATTCAATCATGATGCCACCACCACCAATACCATCTCCTAAACTTCCAATAAATTCTGATCGTAACCTAGTTGAACAATTTATTGATTTACATCTCCAAAAGCAAACATCATTTGATCAAGATGTTGTTTATTCACCTCCATCGTCATTGAGTTCATCATCAAGTTCATTTCTATCTCAAACACCTATATCAACAATGAATTCACCTATTTGTTGTCGTAAATGTGTAAATACTGAAGATAAAAATCAATTATCAAGTGATACTGAAGAAGATTCACAATCAACAACAATAACAACTAATTTATTACCTTTACAACAGCAACAACAACAAAATAAACGACCAAGAAGTTTACCAATCGCTATACAACAACCAAAAAGTGTAACAGTTGATAATAATAATAATAACAACAATAATGATGGTGATGATGATGATGATGATGATGATTGTGCATTTGATAATAGTTTACAGAGTTCTCTTAATTGTCATTGTTCAATAAATTCATCACGAAAAAAACGTCTTCGAACATGTGAATTTAATCAACAACCTATATTTAATACAGCTATATCAGCAAATGGTTTATTTTCGGAAAATACAATAATAACAACAACAACTGATAAATTATATATTGATTTAAAAAATCTTGATGATCAAAATGATAATGAACAATCAACAATCAAACAACAAAAACATCCTTTAGAACATTTTATTATGAGTCCAACAGATAAAGTTAAAGTACCGATGAAATATCCACCAATCAATAATGATAAAGAAAGTGATATAAAAAGTGTAAGTACTTCATTTTTCAACAATATAGCAACACATGGTTTTGACTTTTGTCTAAAATATACAAAAACATTAGTTTATTGTCCAGATTCATTAGATTAGATGAAGAAAAACAGAATCATTTTAGGTGATATTTCAATCCTTCAATTACCTACTAAACTATAAAAGAGATCGTCTAACTAAGAAAGATTCTCAAGTACAAGTCGCCGTTTCCACTAGACGTTATGGTAGTTTGTAGAACTTGATGAGTTGATTAAGATAGTACAAAGCGTTCTTCAGCATAGGAAGTCTGAGAAAAGTTAGATCGATTTTAACTTCAAAAGTTTTAATTTTTATGTTGGTTTAGTTGTCAGTATTCAAAACTTTAACATTGGATGCATCTGAATTGGTTATGTACATCCACACAATCGTCATAAATAAAAGTCCTAATAACGTCTATATTTTGTATATTTCAATATGATTAATTCTGTAGGTGTACGAAATTGAACTATTTTTTCAAAATGATCAAGATTCTCTGGAAATACTGTTCTAAAACGTAGTAATCAAAGCTTTATCAGATATCTCATTTTCAATAGTTTGCATTCTCTTTAATTGTTTTGTTTCATGCTTATATGAAGAAATACCACAGATAGAATTGATTCAATTCCAAAAATAAAACACGAGCTGATCTCATCTCTGAAAATTACAATAGATAAGGCAGGTAATTGAAAAATGATTAACATATATTTCTAATGGGTGTCATGAATGGATGAACATACCATTTGAATTACATAAATTTTTAACGAATCATTCAATGCCGTACATCTACAGTTTTAATGATAGTGAATTATTCAAATTACTAGCGAGAGCTCGTGCATACTGCACGGCTGTTTTCTCCTTTAACGTATGACCTAAGACGTTTAACTTTTCATTCAGGAACAGACATACAGACACTAGATATTATGTATATAGATAGATAGCCCTAAGGTCTCATACTCCTATATCGCACATATTTTTATAGTCCATGTAGCCTTCAGCCTTATAGCCTTATCCCCTTATTGTCTTAGTCCATTGAGAACCTATGACTATCCCCATATAATAGCTCTTGAGGTCCTATAGATGCCCCCATATAATAGCCCTTGAGAACTTACAGGTACCCCTATATAATAGCTCTTGAGGACCTATGGATACCCTATATAATAGCCCTTGAGAGCCTATGGGTTCCCATAATAACAGTCCTTGAGCCTTCTCCTTATAGCCTTATTTGATCTTTAACCTTTGATCCGGCATAGACACACACACTCGCACACACTGAACATTATATATATAGATAGAATTAGTTAGAACTTCTATTTATATTGATTATGTGGATGGGTATAACAGCTTAGAGCTATTTTTCTGAAGTTCAGATCAATCTAACTTCGCCTAGACAATTTACGCAGAAGAATATTTTCTGTCACCATGACCCAGTCATCGAATCCTACACACTGACCTAAAGTCTATTGAAAACAGAGGCTCATATTTGGATACCTTCCCACATTAGTCACAGGAAGTTCCAAATTTTGTTCAATTTTAATATATGTCTTGATCAAAATACACATAAGATGAATCATTTATATTCTAATATATTGAAATTGAAAATGGTAAGCTTTGATAATTTCAATCATGCGCTAAATCTTGTTCTATTCTATTCGAATTCTAAGAATGATTTAATCTAAGACTCTTTCTGTTGTGCTATTCGCCTGTAATTAATAAGATCCTTTTAAACCACAAAAAATTATGATCATTATTGGATTATTTTCTTGTTAGAGTGAATTAAAAATTTCTCAACCTGAGGATATTGATTTTAAACGATCAAAACAAAAAGCTATTCGTGTACTTTATCAAAATCGACTAAATCTCAACAGTATTCAAACTCCGGTGCCACGTCAAGTAAGAAACATATTAATATCTTTTTAACTTTTTATTTACTTGAATTCAATTAAGAATCCAAAGATATTTCCATCAAGAACAGCAACAGGTCATTGTGATTCTCCATTAGCTAAACGAACGACTAATTCACGTATATTAAGAAGGTAGAATAAGAAGATTATTTCAATTGTATACATATTTTTTCCATTGTATGATTTTAGTGTTTTATCATGCAGTGTTTTTGAAGCTGATGATGAACATGAAGTAGTTTCATCGACAACTATAGCAAATCAAGCCGGTGTTAATGGGATACGTGAAAAGTCCAGTATTGAAACATTCAATTGTTTACGTAGCAATTTCACTGTAAAAATTAATTTTTTTTTCTTTATTTTAATATTTAAATTTAAATTTTTTTTAAAGGAATCATTATTACATGGAAAAATTCTTCCTTGTGGTATACTAGATGGTTTTACAGTTAAATTAGGTGCAAGTGGACTTTTTATGCCCAAACAAGTTGTTTTACCTGTGACTACATTTTGGTTTAATATATCTGAACATCAAGCAGCTTCACCTTATCTTGTATGTAGAAAAATGATTGTATTTTTTTTTGATTCAATGGAATATAATGAATTATTTTTTTTTTCTTTCTAGGGTTTTATTAATTTACAATGTTTACCAAAACGTGGTTATCATGCTCCAACAAAAGGCACGATAACTCTAGCTTTATTAAATCCAAATGGAACAGCTATACATTTATTTTTAATAATATATGATTTAAGTGATATGCCACCTGATCATCGAACATTTATACGTCAACGAGTTGTTCTTATGCCAGAAAATACCGGTGATGGTACAAAAAATGAACGTTCATCATCAAACGGAAATCTTAGATATTTAGCTCATATCCGGTATGAAATGGTTTGAAATTGAATTAAAATATTAATTTTGTCTGTTTTGTTTTTTTGTGTATAGATTTGTAACATCACAAACGGGTAAATTATATATGCATTCCGATATACGTTTAATTTTTGCACGTAATAAACTTGATTATGATGATCGAACAGCAGGTGGTAAAGCACAATTAGTGACATTGACAGATATGCCAACACCAAAATATTGGTCACGTAAATAGGGCAATAGAAACTCCAAACAGTTCTGACTGTGTTTATATTTATTTATTTATTTATTATTGTTTTTTTTCCTTTTCTTTCGTTCAGTTTTCTCCCTTTTTTTTTGTCTTCTTGGTTTCGTTTTCTTTTCTTCTTTTCTTTGATGCTTATATTCACTTGTTATTTGCTTTCATGATTTTTGGTTCCTTTTTTTCGTACAGTAATGTTAAGTGACATATTAGAAAACTTATTGGAAGCTTTCTGTATGTTACTAGACTTCAGTTGGTTTCTTTTGTTTTTTTTTATCCTTCAAAGTTTATTATATTATAATAGTCATCAGAATCATTTGTAGAAAAAAAAGAGCGTAATATTGTGTTTTTTTTGTTCTGTGAATTCCATCATTAATATTACGTAAAATAAGAATATCGGTTTTTAAGATAAATCCTTATCGTTGGAAAACAAAATCTTTTTTTTTTAATTCAAATTTACAAAAGAAAACTATTAGCATATTAATGATTCTGTTGAATTTGTTAGAAGTTTTATAAAAGAGTGACCGTAATTGAATTATGCACTTGATGTAGTAGTCTGGTGATTGACAAAAAAAGGCCTTGATGATGAAAATGAAAAGATATTTGTCACGGTCAATTTTGATTTATGTATATGTGAAAAAACCTTGGACTATTGAAAATTGAGATGATTGGATGTTTCAGTATAAATTTCAAAGCATCGAATGTTTGTATGTTTTCAGTTCATTCTGCAAATGGTTAAGATTGGAGAACTTTTATCTGTAGTCAAGTTTTTTGACAAATGTCAATTACACATAGTAAAAAAAATTGACTACATGATATTAGGGGTGCGACTTATGACACCTGTATAGTTCAATTTGAACGAAATCATTTCAGTTTGAAGATTTAGAATGGGTCAAAAATAGATTGGTGAACGATGAGCATGAGAACGTTCAGCACCGAAAAATTAAGCATGCACAAAAGAGTGAAGTTAAAGACTGGGTGAGAATAAAGAGAACACTGGGTATACACCCAAATCATTCGGATCGTTTTCGGTTAAATGAAGAAAAACGCTCTTATCTACTAAATCACATGAGACAACAATTTTCTGTCCGTAGAAAATTGAAATAGAGGAGTGATACTACAGAATGTTAAAATGAAGGAATTTCGGCAGAGTTTTATTTTGAATTCTTGTTCAGTTGCTTTTCAATTTCTTGTTAAATCGAATGATTCATTGGATCATCCTTCATTTAGTTGTCAAAGATCGACTCATTTCTATATTTGTACTGCGACAGTTGATTGATTTAGTTCATCATCAATGAGATAAACTTGAAATATTGAGATTCTATTTTTGGGTTTGGTTGCATGCTGGGAGAAGACTGAGAGTCATACTGATATACACTCATTGATCTTTTTATAGATGCTATGTTTACCTTCATTTTTTTTTCAGTGCGTAAATTTTTTTTGATGTCTGTTGTTCCCCTGCATGAGTATCTATGCTTATCGTTTCGGCTCCCGTCAAAAATGACTCATTCGTTTTGAATGACAGAAAAATTGAATTTATTGTTAATTGAATCTTTTACGTCTTCTTGCAGTTATGTTGTTATTTTATCTACACATAGCTGGAAATCTACTAGTTCATGGATGAATTTTAAAAAAAAAGGAGTCATTTCGAAGATAATACATCGTTAGATACTTGCAAAACGCACCTATTGTCTTTCTTTGGATAATATAGAATCATTGGTTTTAATTCTGCTTCGAAATCACTCATTCCTCTTGGTAAAATCTCATCAAGAAAGAAGGTCATAACAAAAACCACAAGTTTCTATCTGTTATTAGTTCTAATAAAGTTTTTAGCATGAAGATCGCGTCATTTTATAAGTTTATAACGAAAATATACGAATTGTAGATAAGCCATTTTTTTATGTGACTCACTAAGAATGAGTCAAAAATGACCCAAGTTGTTATGAAAAATACTACTTTCACATTATTAATCAAAAAGGTTTTAAAAACTATTGTGCAAATAGATTATGCTCGCCACAGGATTTATCAATCTCCTCAAAAACAGATTTTTTTCAACTTTATGGAAAACTACTGTTTTTCCAACTGATATATTTTAGCGAAGGTATGATGACAACAAGTTTATTGTTTGTTTTCTAATTTACAGCTGATTGATGGCAGTACATAATGTTCATGAATCGTTTCGATCCAATACTTTATTACTCCAAATAGATAGTTTCTATAATAATAGTTTTTTGTATCTAAGATCTATTTTACACAAAAAAAGGCATTCTACTCAATTAAAATAGCATGATAATTAGAAGCAATTATCTAGAAAACTATTAAGATATAATGTGTATGAACAAATAATGCAATGATTTATATATATATTTTTTCATAGTAAAAAAAGTTATTTAACGATACTCGAAATAATCTATTTAATAATATCTTAAACGGCTATTATTTTCTATACGCAAGTGTACGTGTATTGCAATAGATACAAAATATAATTCGTTATCTTAATTCTATTTATTATATTTCAAAGAATAGTATTAATTTGGTCGAAAGAAAAATTAGCGAAAAAAGTTTATTTTTATATTCTCGATTAGCGAAAAGAAGACATTTTATTGCGTGCAAAAACGTGAGAGACGTATAAGTACATCAAGAAGAAATAATAGGGTATAAAAAACATTTAAGCACAATACTAACGACAAGATGATACGTTTCTTTATATAGATGAATGTGGGCGTGAATATGGGTGTGGGTGTCCCCTGTGGAGTATACATGCAGACATCAGTCTTCTCTTTACACCCACACCCATGATAAATATCTTTTCGTTATTTTTTCTTTCTGCCAAATTGATACATACAATTTCCATATTAGTAACATCATCAAAATAAATCTAGTGATACTTGTATATTATATTCATTATATATATATCTATTCTTGAGAGTTCAAAACTAAAATTTGAACTACTTCAAATGGTTGAATTCATGCTAAAAATAATTATTATTTTATCAATGATGAATTTGATATGAATGAATAGTTATGACATCAGTCTAGTTTTTATTAATCTCATCTTTGAACAAAAATCAAAATCGATGAAAACTATTAAAGAAATATTGAACATAAAGGAACTTCCGATTTTTGATTCGTGTTTTTTTTTTTGTCTCTTCGATTTAAATCGTCAAGTTCACGATGGTCACACAACTCCATAGGAGTAAAAGAGCAGAAAGAAAAAGAATAAGCAACAAGAACAATAATATAATAATAACAAATAATCCACTACACCATTTTGAGCAAACATATACACGAAAAAAAAACGAAAAACAAAAAGAAAAATAGGTGGTTGGCGTTTGCTTATATACAAATAATATTATTTATTGCCAACGAGTCCTTCCATGTTGGTCATAATTTGATGATAGCCAATGATTTTGTTGATATTGTGGTGTATACGATGATGATGCCGGTGGTTGTTGAGTAGGAAAATAACCTGTCGGTGGACGTATAAGTGCCGGTGTAGATGTTGTTGATTGTGTATTATAATTATTTGATGTTATTGTTGATGATGATTTTAATTTTTGTTGTGATTGTTTATTATTATTATTATTATTATTATTATTATTATCATGTGGTTCTTGATTTTTACGTTTATTTGTTTGTGTTGATGATAATGAATTATTTAATAGAATAATTTGTTGTTCAAGTTTACTTTTTTCTCTAGCATGATGTTCAATTAATGTCATATTTTTTGATGGAATTATTTGTGTTTGATTTAAATCATCCATATCAATTAATAATGTATCTGATGGTAATTCTTTTTCATCATAATACATTTGTACAAGTTGTAAAAAATCTAATTCATGGGTACGTGGTACACGTGCTAATGGTTTTAATTGTGTTTGTAAATATGGATATATACTTAAAACATCATTTAATGGTATATATGAATGATTACTTGAACAAACAAATGGTACAGTACGATATGTTATATATAATGAACCACCACGTAATGCTAAAACACTTTTATATTGACGATTTATTTTTGATGTTGGATTATCTTTAGGTAAAATTTTAACATAAATTAAATTTTTTGTACCAATTAATATATGATATACATTAATTAATGGTGCATTTTCAAGTATTTCTTCATTATTTATTTTACATTCACGTATCATACAATTCATTAATGTTATATCAGCTAATGTTGCACGTGTTAATGTGGCACGTAATTCATCAGCTTCAAGAATTTTACATGAAACAAGAACTTGATAAGGTACAAGACGTTGACGAAGTTTTGTTATAAATGGAAGAAAAACATTATTGATTTGTACCCAACCACTACCATCAATTTTAGCATTATATAATGTATTGGGACAAAGTTCAGGTGGAATAACAAGACTAGATTGATTTGATAATGGTGGTGTAGGATATGCTGAATGAGTGTCTAAGACACAAAAAGAAAGTTAAAAAAATTCAAAAAAAAAAAAAAAAACAAAATTTCATTTTGAAAATAAATACTTGGTGGGGATATAAGATTAGGTTTAATTTGAACATTAGACGGTAATCGAGTTGATACATCAATGGATGGTGGTTGTTGTTGTGAAGTATAACCATTGATTGTTGCTGTTGTTGAATTAGAAGTCTTATTTGATTGTGTTAATGATGACGATGATGGTTGTATAGGGGCAATTGGAGGTTTAACAATTATTGGTTTTACTGGACTTGTTTTATTTATTGTTGGTGGAGGTAAAGATGGCATCATAGTTTTAGCTGATGGTGGTAAAACATATGAAGAATGAATAGTTGGTATAGATGGAACGGCAGTTTTTTTTCCTGGAGTTGGACGAACATTATTCGATGAATTACAATTTGAACGAGCAAAATCTTGAACACGACGTATGAAATCAATTAATTCATCGTATTCAACTAATTGATCATTTGAAGTTGTAATACGTATATGTAATGTGTTATTAAGATGAAAATCAAGAATTCTTTGCATTAAGTCAGCTTCATAGGAAGTTAATGTATAAGCACGAGGTGATGGTGATATATTTGAAAAATAAGGCGCTAATTGTTTCCATCGCTCACATTGTCCTAAAACTTGTTCAATATAACGTTTGACTACATATCGATCGAGACCATAAGTACCAGGACTAGAAGACAACAAATAAACATGTACGAATAGAAAATTCTTCAAAAAAAAAAAAAAAACATTTTTCTTATGTCACATCAATTTCTTCTATATGTTCTCAAAAATGAGAATAAAGATTTTTGTCTAGACTCTTCGTTATTTTATAAATTACTTTCATCGAATATAAAGTTTACACGAAAATAAATTATATGAAAAACTATTTATAATTTTAGAAAATACAGTATCTGCATTGCGTTTAGATAAATATCATTGGAATTTTTGAGTACGTCCCTATTAACATATAATGTTTGTCAATCTTCACATACCGGAAAAGAACAGCAAACGGTTGATTCTCCCATTGTTCCCATGCAAATTGTTTGAAACGGCTTGGTTCATCAGTTAAATCACTTGAACGATGCATTCACCTATTGTATTTTAAAATAATATATATATAATTATATTTACAGTACAAACAAAAGGATGTTAATTGATAAACTTACTGTTTTCTTTCTTCTAAAAATTCGTATACTTATATTTAAAAAAATCACAGTAGACTTAGACAATTCATAGTAATTTCGATACTGTCTTGTCCAATTGATCTTCGGAGGTATTTAAGAATAAAAACATGTGTTTTACAAATCTTAAAAAAAAATCATTGTTATGGTTTGTTCTGTTCTCTACTGTTGTTTATGATTGTATTTAAATACAGGGTGTATAAAAGTTCAAATAAAAGAATTTCATTAAACTTTACAGACAACCAATCTCCGTGACCGTTTGCAAAAAACACAACGAACATTTTTTTTAAACATCTGTATCATTGGTGCGAAATGACATTTCAAAAGTCATTTATGCACTTGTTACAGATGTCGTTAAAAATCAATTAATATTTGTTTGATAGAACTACATATGTGGGTAAATGCTTTCATTAGAACCGCTGATTAGTCGCGCCTCTAATCAAACTACTACCTAACCGCAGTTTATGTTTTGTTATGAGTTGTCTACTAGTTTTTTCTATTAATGCTTGTATTATTTACTCTTAAGACTGTTGGTTTCTACAAAACAAATTGATTTAAATGTAACATAAGAAATTGTACTAGATGGTGCTGCACTTTTCGCTATTGGTGAAGTCTTCTGAATATAATACCTATTGTCGTGGCGCCATCTGCATTTAGTGATTCATCCTGAAAACAGTCGCTATACCTGGTATCAATAACTTAACTCGACTCAGAAGTATTCGGAGTCATTTTATCGAGTCCAGTTTGAAAATTGTTCAAGAATTGCAAAAATGTGTATATGCATTCCATTATCTATAGTCTTTTTTTATTTCAAATGAAATTTTAAAAAAATTAGCTTCCTTTTTTACGGATAACGTCAGGTTAATGTGTCTTGAAAAATTAAGACATTCCACCACATAGAAGAAGGTAAACGCGATCTTACCCTAGATAAAAGAAGCATTCACATAACATGCATCTGTACTCTATAACCACACATATTTTAATCGTATCGCCCTAGAAAGCCTTGAGTAGGCTTTAGAACTATTATTAACTCTATATATCTTATAACGCGCTTTTTCATCGATGCGGCTAGGAGAGCAGGGTAAATGGCTATGGGCTATATAATAATAATAATACTTATAAAGGTCATTTGCTCCACCTATTGACAAGAAAAGAGGATTATAGGATATGTAGTCGTGAATAATTCTATACACTGACAAAAAAAATAGTATGATTATCAAACCTAAAGAGTGTTTCGTGCATGCTGCGAGACCTAAAAGAAGTTTTGTGTAAAATATGAAATTTAAAAAGGATTTTGAATTCATTGTAGCATTCGAAAATTTCTTTCCCCATTATCGACATTCTAGTAGGGCTATACTGAAAAAAAATAATGCTGTACGAAATCTAAAAAGAGTTTTTAGGTTTCCATGGAATCCGAAATCCTTTTAAAGTTTTGCATCATAAAAACGTTTCGCAGTCTAAATCATAGGGAAAGTTCCATATAATATCACTGAGTTCACACATATTCTCACGATATGTACTTTTATTCATTTATCACTATACCTCAATAACATACTTTTCGATCTAATCACTTATATCTATATATAACCCTCAATATATATATCTTATTCGTTATTTCAAAGCATAGTTCGTGATTCCTATTCTTAATCCTTTACCCTATAACTAGTCTCTTATGTGCACGCTTAAAACCTATTACTTTTGGCTAACCACTTATTCGTATTTCTAGTCTCGTATGTGTATGTATTACCTGTATTTAGATACGTAATCCTTTTTTTTCTATGGATTTCTCGTACACCTATCTCTGGCCTACTTGATATACATGTATCGACCTATCTCTATATCTACCCGTTATATCTATGTTCACATTGCGAAATCTACATGTATGTTGATGTATATTGTACTTTCCCATGGGTGCATTTATTTCTGTGTACTACCTTGAGTAAAAAGAAAGCTAAGTAACACGATAAAGAAATATATCCAGAGTATAAATCTGTTTGCTGAACAATCTTTCTGTCATACAAAAACGGGTTAGCAATTTCATGTGTCGGTGCGATCAAGCAACAAACGTGGGAAGATCTATTGCAAACCTATAACTACAGTGCCTTCTGAAATACAAGCATAGAGATCTGTTGATCGAGCTGTTGCTATGTTTATTGCGGCAAAATGTAAAAATTTTAAAATGCAGCATAGAAATTTAGTTGTGGTATCATTGATGCATTGTCTATTGCTTCCAGAAGTGATACGATATAGAAAAGTATAAAGTTTAAATACAGTAATGAAACGTCGACATACGATTGCTATTGCACAAAGGCAGATACAAGTAGGAATAATTTAGATCGAATAAATGTCTGATTCGTGAACAACTGTTTCTGTTATATATGAGACAGTAAAAGAAAACAGTTTAGGTTGAAGGCTTCTGACTACGAAACTCTTTGTGCTATACAAAACCTGGCAAGTTTTCATACGAAACTTTTACTGAGGTCTTTTATATTGATACGGTACTCTGAAGATACATCAAGCTTGTAAGAGACGTTTTAAGATTCCTTAGGCACTTTTTTTCAGTGTAGTTCCCCCATTGGTGAGAGAAGAGGACTATAGGACACTCTAGAAAAACATCTGTGAAGAGCGTAATTATGAATGATGATGTGGGATGGGTTTTGCGAATCTCTGCTATGCGCAAATATGAACACAATTAGCATTTGATCACGACCACATCAGTTAAGAGAATAAGAGTGTTGATACGTTTGTATTCATATGCTATACAATTTCTTGCTTTCTGATTACTATGAAACTAATCTTGCAAATCTGTTTAAACGTAGAATGCTCATATACGATGCGAATAAATCTATTTTCTCGTCTTATTATATATTTTGGAATCAACAATACTCTATATTTAGGTTAAAATGAAAGTTTATGTATATTAATAAGAGGCAATTAGTATTGACTGTTGTTAAGTTTAACTTTACCGGTATATTAAACGTTGTATAAAAAGTGATACCATGTTTCACATGAAATCCTTTTGTATGTCATGTGTCAATCCACATCAGTCATCGATAGGCAAATATTTGCTATTCTTTTTCGTGATATTTCTTTTGTGTTAATATAAAACTTATCATAAACAGATAAGTTATTTGTAAATTTTCAACAGCTTATACTTTGACGGTATTTGCACTAACACTAGAATACGCCAATCATTTGATGATTATCGATTTCATGTTGATCTTCTGCATTTGACGAAAACATGTTTCAATAAAGATTTTTTCTTAGGATAACATGGCAAGCGTATCGAAGCTTACTATTGTTCAAAATAAGAATTGCTACATCAAAATTACTTTCTCTCCCTTTAAACTTTGTTTTTATTTATTTTTTAATGATACTCTCAAGCTTTTATCGTTTCTTATTAACGAAATATGAACTAATTTCCTATTATTATATTCTAATAATAAAGTAATGATAAAATAATAAATGCAATAT